CTCAAGAGGCCCAACAAACTGCCCTCCCCACCTCCCTGTTTCCTTTCCAGTGAACCCAGCACTCACTGAGGAGGGGACTGAGACATGCCAAGAACCCCAAGGCCCAGTAGAGAACAGGGGCTTCTAAGCAAATCCCCATAGCTGCTCCTGCCGGCTGTACATCTGCAGAGAAAGCATCAGCAAAGGAAGAGGCAAGGGAACAGGAAAAACTATGCTCACAGAGCCTATTTGCTCTTCCGCAACCAAGGGGCGGAGCTCAGCAAGTTAGAGTGACAGATCTTGCAGGCACCCCACCCCCAAGTTGGAGGCAGAACAAAAGTGAGTGTGCACTGACCTGAGTCCATGCTGACCTCTCAGACAAGTCCCTCCCTGCGGACACAGCCAGCGTTGTACACGCACACGACACTATCTTATCACTTGCACTTACCTCCTTCCTGGGCTGACATCCCACCTTGCTCTCTATCTTAAAGGGATCTGAATCCTCCATTGTCCAGCATATCAATACTCTGCATGATATCCACATGTAGTAACGTGATAATCATTTTGCTTATCAGATCAACTGTAGAAATATTGTAGTTCTCTGTTCAAAGAACCCATGTGCAGAAGCCTAATGTCACAACTCATTACCTGCCTCATTTATCTCATTTCACATCAAGTAGATATTGCATCATCCCACTATATCACTATAGGACAAGCATAGTACAATACAATACCTAGAGAAAGATATGCCATCCACAAAATTTTTATGATACTGCCTTGCAATACTTGTTTTATTTTATTATGTAATTATTTTCAAACCCTTCTTGTGCCTAATTTAGAAGTTTTATTTTTTCATATGTATACACAGGGAAAATGAAGCATACATCTCCATGGGCTATGACAGTATCTGTAATTCCACACATCCACAAGAGATCCTGAGATGCATCCACTATAGATAAGAGCTCATAACGTTATGAGTTCATGCACTATGAAAATCTCTTCATGTATTTAAAGACTGAATTAAACATATCAATACATGTTAAACTTAGTATGAGGAAGGAGAAAAAGAATTAAGTAAGGACTACACTAATGTTTTATTACCAGAACAAATAAAGGAATAGAGATGACATTTGTTGAAATGGGAAGCTGTGTAGGCTGCAATTTAAGAAGTTGCATCTTAAACATGATAACTTGAAGTGGCCTGTTACACATCCCATTGGATAGTTTAAGTAAATGATTGGCTATTCACAATATGTAGTCCAGAGAATGGATCCAATCCAAAAACTTCAGAGGAAGCAACGCAGGAGTTTGCAACCATGGAATGACACACATCTATGTATGCTTATTGATGCCATAATACAGCAATACCAGTGCTCAACTATAATACTACAAAAATTTTTACTCTATAGTTCCGAAATTTACACTTTTGCTTTAAATATGGTTGATATAAAATAAAGGAGGCTTAAAGCTATTTTGGCCCTAATGGAGAAAATATAGAAGAGCCCAGGTAATGCTGTTGCTAGAATTTATAATGTTGTCCTTGTTCTCTTGTCAACAAGGGCTTTTCCAGGCTGCTGCCTGAGGCCACTCTTCTGTAAATTCCAAATATCCATCCCACCTCCATTATTTTCCTACTCAAGATCCAGAACCCAACTCCTTTAGTAGAGTCAGCACCTCTGCAATGTACCCATGTTAGAGCTCATGTGCTCACCAAGATCCACATCAATGACCCAGACGATTAACTTTGTTCACAGATAGGCAAGTCCTCTGTGGGAAGGCATCTGGAGTCACAGCAACACCAGAGGAAGAGCCTTCAACATGCAGCCATGAGGGTCCTGAGAGGGCAGCTTGGGAATGGCAGGAGGGAGTAATAGGCCTGGGCAGCTGGAGGAGCTGTGGCCATCAGCTCCAGTTAAGGCAGACCAGGACAGCTAGGCTTGGACAAGACCAAGAAAAGGCAGGGCCTACAGGCTTTAGGCTCAAAGTGCAGACCTCAGGAGTACTGAAATCTGCTTCTGATTATTGGATGTTTCTCACAGTACATCCTGGGCTATGCACATTGCTATGTGCAGTAAGCTTGGGCTCCTTGTATTGATCTCCACCCTGAGAATGCAAGACAGAAAGTAAATGCAGCAGTGGAGGGACAGAGAGGCCTCAGGTGACCTGCACAGAAAAAAACAGCAATTGATATGACTATAAATTTCCCCTCAAAGAATTAGGTAGCAATGGTGAATCCCCTTAGTTAAAACTGCTGGTAATACATAACTGTGAAAAGAGGTGGTTATATAAAAAGCAGATGACTGGGAAGCCCAGAGCTAGTCCTTCAGAGACAAATGAGCGTCCAGCTCTCACCGCATTCTTGCCTTCCTGATTCTCCTGCTTCATCAGCTATGCACAGTGGATGCCACCATCATCAACTCCTTGTGCAAGTCTGCATGTCACACAAAGATTAATCATTGGCTCTGTTCCTGGGAGACTGTGAACCCCAAGATTATGTTCACTCATACCATATCCTCTTCTGGGCCTGCTCCCTGTCAGCACAATGAAGCTCTAAGGACCTCAGAGAGGCGGGGAACTATCATAACACAAGAAAAGTGGGGCAACCTGCCTTTTCCAATGTCTTCTTCGTCTCTTGATTTTGACATGTCTGCTAAAAGAGTAGTCTAGTTATCAGGATCAGCAGCACAACCAGAATACCCTCCAGAAGAATTCCATGAAACTAGCAATGAAATGGCAGTGCAAGTCTGTTTGCATCACACAGAATGAATAAGGAAAGGATGAAGCAGGAGAGAAGCTGAGGTACCCATTGCACAGAGCATATTAAAGAGCAAGCAGGCAGAGAAGTTGGAAGGAGCCTAGTTCAGTGGCTGACATGGGAGGAGCATGGAAAAACCATTCACCAATCGCCAAGTTCCTGTTTGATGTCAGGGGAGCTGAGAACCAAATTCAAAGCTTGAAGACAAATATATGGAGTCAGCAAGAAATAAGACATGAACCATAGTCACCAGTTGTTCATAATGGATGAGTCAGGAGGCTGTCTTCCTTATTTACACAGAAATCATTGCAAGCTTCTGCACAGATATTTGATTGTTCTAATTTTTACTTCTTGGTTAAGAAGGTGTTTTCAAAGATAATTCTGAAACATACCATGATCATTTCACTTCAAAGCAAGCCATTATTTATTCTGGGCTCTAGCCAGGAAATCTTCGGCCAGCAGTTACATCTTAATCAGTAATACACTCCTACTACATTTTTATTTCTACAACCTATTTATCACTTAATGGGAGAAATATGTCATAAAGGTTAAAACTTTAACCATTAAATCCCACTACAACTACAGGCCTTAGAACCCCATAAACAATCAAACAATAATTAAAATATGTTTCTATAATATTAATATAAGCATCCTTTAATTCCTCTAGCCAGAGGGTCTTGAAAGGGATTGAAACAGATACATTTTCTTTTTTCATTGCATTTCATTTTAAGACATAGTTTCATGGGCTCTGAGGTTCCACCAACCCCTCTCCGTACCCTCCTCCCATGGTGGATTACTCCACCTTACTGCAGTATTACAGTTCAAATCCAGTCTTGTTTCTTTCATTGCAAGCATGTACCATGCATAGAGTCTAGCATCTTATTGTTCAGATCAATTCAACAGTTTCTTGGGCAGACCATCTCTAGTCTAAAAACAAAGCTGACAGAATATTGTTCCGACTAATTAAAAGTCATAACATAACATCAACAACAGTTTACAACATTATGGGATTAATTGACATGATATTGAGTGACTTTTATGTTAGAAAATGCAAGTTCTTAACCACAGCCTGTGACTACTTCATTAACATTTCAATTTTAGTTTATATACAAGCGACTGCTACACACTTTAAAATGGCTATAGAATACTATTCAGCTGTCTCATGTCTATTTTCATTTTTGTATTTAGCTGTTTATTGTATTGAAGCATAATTTTTGCTGAACTTGGCAGATTTTAGGATAGTCCAAACTGGCTTATAACTTTAATAAGGCATATGTCAACAGTTGAGGCACAGAACAGCTTTGGGAGGGGTCTGCAGAGAAATCATCAATACCCCAGTGAAGAGTAACTTATTTTCATGTCCTACCTAATAAAGTATATGTGAGTCCCCGCTGACCGTTTCCTGTCTGGTTCTAAGCTTTCCTTGTTGTTCTCTGTCTATCTATTCTAATTTTTTTGTTGTTGTTTGCTTGTTTTGTTTTGTTTTGTTTTGTTTTGTTTTTAGGGGGGCTCCGGGGCGACCCTGATGGTCATTGCAGGAGAGGGTGGGGATCCAAAGTTGGAACTAAGCAAGGACCATAGAAAGTTCCTCTCCCTAATTGAAACAGGTTCATCTTCTATGCTCAAAAGAAATTGCAAAAACAGGCTAACCCTTAAGTTTACAGTGACTATATTTATCACCACAATAGTTTTGGCTCATACTCCCATTATTTCATCAATTTTTTGGGAACTTATCAATTCATCTCCAAAAAGGCATGCTACTTACCTGAGCCAGGTTCTGAGGCAATAGTTAGGTACACCATAAGCTGTTCAGAAATGGCATGGGCTCCGTTGTACTCCTGTGTGCATTAAATCTCATAAAAAGATCCACTTACCAAGACATTATCAATAACATTAGTTCCTAAGCCCACATCAGTTGCAGAAACCATCTCACAATGGCAAACAGCAATGCCTCAAAGGATTTCAGAATTTTTTTAAGGGGTAGGAGAGTGTCCAGCAAAGGGGGTGAAACTATGTTGAAGTGGTTGAAGAGACATCTGCCAGGTCTAGCCATACAGCTCAAAGCTCCTCACAGCCTTGCCAACAGGGGGATTGTTTTCTTTACACCTTTATGTCATTCACCCCATCTGCACGGCTCCCAGCAGAAGAGGCCTAGTCCAGCAGCTGGAATGGGAGGAGCATGGAAGGGTCATTCACCAATCACCAAGTTCCTGCTTGATGTCAGGAGACAATGAATCAACTTCCATAAAGAAATTGGGGCCACAGCCGAGGTAGATTTATGTTTATTTCTCTGTTTTGGGAGACAGAAAATTCCCATGCATTTGTTTACTCCCCACAGACCCAGAGCCCTGGGAAAAGCCAGGATCTAAGGACTAAATCCAGCTCTCCCATGTGGATAACAGGAACATGATTCTTGAGTTGTCTTCCGGAGTCTTCAATGGCAAAAGATGGAATCAGGAGCCCAGAGCCAGGAATTAATTCAGGAACTGGGATATAGGAAGCAGGTGTTCTACTCAGCCTTATATTCACCAGGTCAAATGCCCACCTCCATTGTAACCTTTGCACTGTTATAACCCAGTACGCTCATAAGAGGTACTGGGAAAGCTGAATCATGAAAGAAGAGAGGAGGGTTCCCAAATACTCAAGCTCTGGCAGTCTGATTCTGAAGATCACCACACTTAGAGAACAGCTGTGTGTGTCAAAAAGCCAGTGCTGGGATTTCTCAACAGAAAAGGGACAGTCAAAGGAGCAGGAAGGTGTGGCTCAGAAGGCGCTGGGCTCCTTTTCCTACAGCAAATTCTTGCTTTGCTTCCCAGAGACATTCTTTGAGAAAAGACATCTGAGAAAGGCCAGGTAGGTGGGTTTCAATTGATGAAGAGAGGTTAAGGAAGAGTCACATGAGTACACTAGCTGATGCAAACGCTGTATCCCAGGTACACAAATACAATAGACACCCCCCCAAGCACACTCACACATACACACATACACACTCCTCAGCACCCCCAAGTGAGCCCTATGCAAGATTTGCAAAGAAAGTATCAGACCAGTCCTGTTAGAACCTCAAGCACTCAAAGGGCCTCCGTCACCCTCCAAACCAGGAGCCAGGACCCAGCTCCTTCAGCACAGTCAGCACCTCCACAATATTCCTCTCCCAGAGCTTAAGAACTCATAATGTCTCAGAGTGACTAAGCAGAGACAGTAGAGATTAGCTATACATATGCGCAGGCAGCAACTCCATGGGAAGATGTCTGAGCAAAAGATGTCAGGAATCATGGCAATGCCAGAGGAAGAGACCTCACGAGGCACTTGTGTGGATCCTCAGTGAAAGAGCAGTATGAACACGCAACATGTGCCTGGGGAGTTGTAGACACCAGGTCAGGGTTAGTCAGAGCAGCACAACTGAAGCTAAACAACAGCTGCAGATGAAGGATCTGCACACATCAGCCTTGGAGTGCAGGTGCCCCCGAACTGCCAGTTCTGCTTCCTTCATTCAGATGAATTAGGTTAGGAATCCAACTGTAGATGATCATGGTAGGTTTCTTCCAGATGTTGTTGCTCTCCACCCTGGGGACACAAGACCAAGAGTAAGCAAAGAAGTTAAGGGAAAGACAGGCCCAGACAGAACACATGAAAAGCACCGCATGTGAATTTCACCCAATCATCTAGTACCATAAATGGGCAATTGTAAATTTTCTTTAAAAATGCTTGAATCTATATAAAATATGAGAAAACAGTGAAGACAAATAGCAGAGACCACAATTTAAGAAACTCAAGAGTAATGTATATGCAAGTAAAGTGTATGCAAGTAATGTATATGCAAGTATAGGCAAGGCTGGCCACCATTTCCTACTCTCATGTTACCCTTACCTTCCTAAATCTGCTGCTTCATCGGTTGTGCAGAGTGGATGTCACTATCATCCACCCTGCGGTCCATCTGTAAGGCACAACCTGTCATAACCAGACTAAAGGATGCTGCTATGCCTGGGAAACTCTAATCCTTGCCATGTCATGCATCCCAAGTTCATGACCACCACCAACTCTGCAGTGTCCACTACCTAGCAGCTAACACAGGTGAAGGAACCTAGATTAAAGGGGGGTGTAACTGGGCAGTAAAAGGAAAGGGCACCTTGCCTGTTCCAGTCTCCTTCTTCTTCCCCCAGTGAGTCTTCCAAAAGTAGAGTCCAGCAACCAGGATCAGCAATGCAACCAGAAGAGCTCCCCGAATTAATTGAACAAGGATAAAAATGCTCTGTACATGAAGCTTTGATTCTGTCACACAAAAATTAATAAGTTATAATAATAGGATGAGGGAGGAGGAGGTAGAGGTAACTATTGCCAGAGGGAAGAGGAGAGAAAGCAGGTGAAGTTGGGCAAGACCTAGTTCAGAACTGAAGTGAGAGGAACATGGAAGATTTGGTCCTGATGACCAAGTTCCTGCTTGATCCAGGGAAGCTGAGATTCACAAAACATGGCTCTGGCTCCGGAGAAGCTCATCAACAGATAGACAAAGCTTAGAGGATAGCACTAACTTTCAGGCTGATTATGGATGCCAGAAAGGTATGATTTTTTTTCTTTATTGTTTTCTTCCTCTTTTAGGTTTAGAGACACAGCTCACATGCATTAGTTTAACTCCTAGAGTCTGCTGCCGAAGGCAAGCCGGGAGCTGAAGCTGCAATCCTGGTTTCAGGGTACCAAGTCATTGGATGGATCAATGAAACACCTTTGTGAGAAAACTAGGACACAAACTGTGCTTGGAGCAGGAATTTAAAGAAAGTAAGGGATGAACCCTTCTCTTATGGTGTTCCAGTCTATGGAAGAATCAGATGCATAAATGGGTTTTTACTCCTTCAGTTACTATGCCCATTATCATCTCCTTACAAAAAGTGATACCTTAAAAATCTAATAGAGCAGGACACTTTCAGGCAAACTCCTCAAGCAGTTCATGGTGACATGTGAAAAGTGTGGCCAAAAAAAACAAGGACAGAGGAGCATCTGAACACAGAACCCTTCAAGGATTCACTGAAACTCACACAGAGACCACACAGACACAGGACACAATCTGGTTGCTCTCTCAGAAGATGACCCAAAGTAAAATGAGGATGGGGGATAGAACTGGCAACTGACCTCCCTAAATGGCAGAAATGCTTAAAATCAGCAATAAGTGGCAACTTATTCTCAGAATTCTGTAACGATATAAAAGTAGGTAGTGTTGCTTGACATGATAGAGAAAAGGATGAAACCGTTAGACTCCAGTGCACTATCTGTTATACTCACCTTGAACACAGATGTCACCAAGGTCTAAGGTGGCAGTCTTCTGGTCCACCAGGTTGCTGACCACACAGCTGAGGCTGGCATTGGGCTGACTCATGGGGACACTCACAGCCAGGGTCAAGGAGATGGAGGCTGGTCCCAGTGTCCCTCCATGCTTCAGCTCCCTGTTCAGGCCTGTGCTCTCCCAGGTCACATTCAGGTCCTCGGTGGCATCTGTGACATTGCATTCCAGGGTGATGTTACACCAGCCTGACGTCAAGGATGCTGACTTGGCCATGAGGTGAGGAGCAGGCACTGGCTCTGGGGCAGAGGGAGACAGAAGCATGGGGTCTCAGCTGTGTGCAGTCATCACAGGCCACATACTCTCACCATGACCTCGCTGAAGCCCAGACATTACCCTGTGAGGAAGGCAGAAGAACATCACAGAAAAAAGTTTCCCCAAAGCCAAATGTTGAGCAAATGACAATAGGAACAGTAGCCCAGATTTTACACCCCATTTCTCTAGAGTGAGCAAGTTCCTAAAACTTTTATGAGGGTACAGCAAACACTTGATTCCATCTTCCAGACCCCATGATTTCTAGAAGAGTGGGGTCACTCTAAGAAAGAAGAGACACCTGGGGCTGAAGCTGCCGTGATGCCTTCAACTGCACAGCCCTTGGGAGGCAGAATATGAAGCTGTTTCTGGAAGGCTAGGGAGAGGCCTACGCTCCCCATGCTTGTGGGTGATGTAGTGGTGATGACCTAGGAGAACAGCTCTGAGTGTGGGTAGAACATGTCACTGAGCTTGTGGCACAGACAGGAAGAGAAAAAGCAAATCCTCAAGCCCATCTGTGAAATCACATGAGACCCAAAGTAGTTATTTCAGCTACTGGCTCTGTTGCAGGATATTTCACAAAGAGGAGGGGATTTGACAGAAAAAAAAAAAAGGTGAATACTAGGTTCTTAGGACATATTCCAATGTGAACTTTTCTCCTATACCAGGCAGGGTCTTGAAGGCTGAGTTTCTGGAGTGTGGGGTGAGTCGGTGTGATCTGGTGCTGAGGGAAAGAGAGGGGACTCATAGATCTTACATACATGGGGACTCTACATGTATAGCAGCACAGTGGGCTGAGCGATGTCCAAGTCATCATTCTCAGAACATGTGAAGACACAAAGTTTATGGCAAAGGAAAATGAAGACAGCAAATAAGGAGCCAGCATCATGGCATGGCAGGTCATTAAAAAAATCAGAGGTCAAAGAATGCAAAGTGAGATCTGACCAACCCTGGCAGGTTTACATAAATAAAGGACCATGCCTCAGTTATGGCAGCAGCCTACAGGACAGAGAAAAAAGACAAGAAAGGGATTCTCCTTCACATCCCTACATCACATGGGTATAATACATCTTTGCTCTGTTAAACCAATACTGTAAACAATTTTTTAAAACAAAAAAATGCAGAAATGGTGTAACCTCAGTGCTATTTAAAAAGCTACTATTGTTTCAAAGCTTCCTGTTTCATGTTTACCTCATGCAAATCACTAAACTAATTCTTACCATGAGTGGCTCTCTGCTCTGCTGTCTGCAGGTGGTGACACACTCTATGTTCAGACAGGCAAACACACACTCACAGCAACATCTGATGAAATCTGCACAGCAGGCCTAAGACAGCAAACCTGGACCAACAGCAGGAACTGTGCCAGGGACACACAGAGCTGTCACTTACCATAGACAGAGAGGTGGAAAACCTGATTAAGTGATAATCCTCCTGTGCGCATGGCCGCAGCCCGGTACTGCCCCCTGTCTTGGGGGATCAAACTCTCAATCATAAGGGATGTCATGTTGGGCACATGGACTCTCCCCTTGAACTTGTCCTGAAGGCCAAGCCATTTGGGAGAGTCTGGTCCATTGTTGACTCGCAGGAAGTTTGTGTATGCTGACTCAGGTCCAATGCCCCACGTGATCTCCTCCAGCATCTCTCCTGACTTCAGGACCATGTGGAACCATACAGAATCTCCTCGCATCCCCTTCACAGCAAAGTGCACGCCACCATTATCCATAATCCCAGAGCCTTGAGCTTCAGGACTATTGGCCAAGGTGTGGCTGATGCCTAGGGAATTGGAAATAGGAAATGAGAACATGTTCTCAATAAGTACAAATAAGAGAAGCAAACTTTTTTCTTTTTAATCAAAACCTTCCAAACAGTCCCTTAATTGGCAGCCTTGGGCCAACAGCTGGTGGGGAATATATGAATGCTCTGTGTTATATGCTGTCCATGGGTACAAGTTTGGGGACAATCATGGCCATTGGTCATTAAGTGCTTACTGAACGTAGAACTCAGAGAAGTAGCTTGCTCTTCCCATGAGAGAGGGAGGGCAACTGGACTTGCTAAGAGACAAAATTGGAAACCCCTCCCAAGAGAACACCATCCTGAAGGACTTTGATAGGTAATTTAGGTCAGAAGAGTGTTTGCCTTTCAATCTGTCTATATCATGAGAAGGGTCATCGAGGAAGACGCTGATGTTGCTTCTAACCAGGCAGGAACTCAGTGGGTTGACTGAGTCTTTTAGTAGCTGCCTCTGCCCACTAGCCTAAGGCATACCCTGGTCCACAAACCACCTTGCAGATCAATTTCCCACATAGTATCGGAAGCCTTCTGTCCCTGAGGCCACTCTCATGGACAGAGGGAAAGGCAAACAAAGAAGGTGGAGGAGCTTGAAGATGAAGAATTGTCCTGCTGTGGAGGACAGTGGAAGGGGCCACAATGACAGCTTGGGACCTCCTGCTCTTATAGGAACCCCAAACAGACTCAGTAGCAGTCCACTCCAACATAGATAGTGAGCTGGTGGCCAGAGAGAATAGCCTCACAAGGCTTATCCCTCAACCTAACACAAGATTTTAGCAGCCTTGGCCAGTCTCACACTGTAGTACACATGAAGGAGGGAAACAATCTATTAGAAGGATAATGTAAGGTACATTCAGGACAGACTAACAGTGACATAGATATACTGACTCTCATGATCTGGTAACTATCAAACAGGTCAAACCTAGTCTGAATTTATATAATCCATAGTGGTAACTTTTCATTTGTAATCACTGTGATGGGGTGCAAAAGATTGGTGGCTAGAACCTACTCTTCAAGTCTGATAACACAGAGTTTCAGAACCCGCCCTTCCTACCTTCTAACCCACCATTCAACTGATTTCAATGCATGAAACTGGCTCCAGAACCCCTGCATGCCCCGCCCCTCCTGCCTCCTGCCTCCTGCCTCCTGTGCCATTCAAGTTCATTGACAACATGGAAATGGCTCTAGAGTCTCACAGCACCTGGCTTCCTACTACTTCCCACTACGCTATTTTAGAAAAAAAGAAAAAAAAAAAAACCCCGTCATGGAAACTTTGGGATCAGGCAGCTCTCTTCCTGCCTCCAGAAATGTAGTTAATTGAATGCATGGAAACTTTGTCCTGCATGGTCTCAATCATACTGGAGGATGGTAGCATAAAAACTCCTGACTTCAGCCGCACTGCACAGTTGTTCATGGGTTATCACAGGACTTACTCTTGCTGAGCTTGGAAAATAAAGAATCCTCTAAACATCGTATATTGTATACAGTGTGATCTCTTGCAGTCCACAATAATCATAACAAATTCACATTGGCTTGTACCAAAAAGGCAGGTTCTAGAGAAGTGCAAACTCACTACCAGATAGAAATTACCTTCTTTAGAACAGGACTGGCTACTAACAACGTCTGTGGAAAGGAAGCTATTGATGAATTTAAGAACACTCCTGGAAATAAAGAACAAAGGGTTGCTCCTGATTGATTCCTATAAGCAGTACCAAGGGACCCTATATGCACATTGCTCACATCAAACACATCTGGTGAATATCAGGTACAGTTCAGCTGGCCAGCAGGTGTTTCTCCTGAATGCTCCACTGGCTTTTTAGAGACATTCTCTTCTCACAAGACAGAGTTAAGAACTCACTTAAATTCCCCATGAGATTTCTAAGGGACTAATGTTATCTCAAGCAAATTGAGTCACTGCCTGTAACACCAAATCCCATATGAGCACTAGTTTGAGCCACGACTGCTCTAGTTTCAACCCAGCTCCCTACTAATGTGACTGGGAAAGCAGCAGAGCACCCATATGTGGAAGACCCAGAAGAAGCTGCTGGTTTCTGGCATCAGATCATTCCAGCTCCAGCCATTGCAGCCATTTGAGCAGTTAACCAGTAAGGAAGGTCTCTCTGTCTCATCTCGCTTTCACTCTCTCGCTCTCTCTATTCTCTGTCAGTCTCTCTCCTTATATAAATCTGCATTTCCAATAAATAATCTTAAAAGCAAAAGACATTTGTGAGATAAAGAAAAAAAATAAAAGGAAAAGAACAATGGGTCACTCCAGGCTGTTCCAAATAGTTAAGACTAACAGATCACATGTGTGTACTACCCAAGATAAATGCCCTGGTGGACATCATGCACCTCAGCCCAGCCTAGCAGGAGCTTCTCTTGAATGTTTTGCAGCCTTTTCAGTGGCAGCTTGTTTCCACAATATAGAGTTGAAACTCACTTAAATTCTGGATGAGGTTTGGGTATAGTAGTGTTTATGTGTCCAGGCCTGAAGCTGCAGACTGACTTTCTGTAAGGAGGAAGAGCAATTTCCAGCTCAGGTCCAGGTCAGTAACATAGGAGTCAGGCCGATAGGGGACACCAATTTCATTCCTAGAAGTTTCTCATGACTGAAAATAACACTTTCTATCTTTGCTCTAGTTAAGACATAATAAATTCTAGATTTTTATCTTCCTTCCTCTCTTCCTTCTTTTTTTTCTCCCTGATTCCTCACTTCTCTATTCTCTTTTTCCTTTCCTTCCTTTCTAGCACTCCAACACATGGTGAAACTCCATACAATGTAGTGTGTTCTTGTGTCCAACAACACTGCAAAAATGGGAGGGGTCTACATTTGCCTAGTAAGGGTCCATCCCTTCCTAAGATCAGGCTATCTGCTTAATCACAAAGTCATCCTTATTAAGCATCTCTAATCCATAACTCCAAATAATTCTCTATACGTTCAGATAGTAATTAAATTTTAAAACCAAAATCCCTGTATCTGGCATGTGGCACAGCAGTGTAAGCTGCCATTTGGGATGCCAACTCCCCATACTAGAGTGCCATTTCCATCACTGCCTGCTCCACTTCCCATATGATGCCCTGCTGATCCACCTGGGAAGGGACTGAAACATGATCCAAGTGTCTGGGGCCATGTGCATCGTGGGAGACCAGAATGGGTCAGAGGCTGCTAGTTTCCACCGTGCCATAGCTCTGGCTGATGCAACTATTTGGGGAGTGAATCAGTGGCTGGAACCCCTTCTCATCTCTGTGTCTCTTCCTCCTACATCACTGTGTCTTATGAATCAGTAAAGGTAATGTTTTTACAGAAAATATTAATCAAAGCTCAGAGCTATAAAAGCTTCCTCAAAGTTTATACTTAAGATGGCTGTTTTCTCTTTAGTTTTGATGTAATTTCCTGACACTCACAAAGCTCACATCATATACATGTTGTCAATGTCATTTGCAACCCTAACCGGGATGGACCTTCTCTCGGTTCCCTTTGGGCTTCACTCCCAGTCGTCTCTGCTTTCACGTGTCCATTGTGACCATCCCATTTCCACATTGTCCCTGAGTCCATGTTCACCATTTGATGTTTCTTTCTCCATTTTCAACACATTCGTCAGCACATGGGTGTAGAGACTTTACATCTTGGAGGTTGCTTCTGCTTTTATAAAGTTGAACAACTCATAGCATATACTTTCATGCATCTTGTTAACAAAATTCACTAGCCTCACATTTAAGAAGTTGGAGCCCTCCCGAGATGACTGGTAACTTTGTTTCTTGTACCCCACAGTACCTGTGGAATTAAATCACTGCGCAAGTTCAGTCATGCCCCTGGATGGGCCTCCTGTGTCCCAGAGTTTTACATGATGGCACACATGATACAGTCTACTTTGAATGTGGACCCTGGATCATTATTGCACTACATAGTGGGGAAAGAGGTAGCTCCCAGGGAACTGAAGGACACCATAATCCTATACCTTGCAACCAAAGAAATATTTTTCAGCACTTCCAAGTAAAACATACACTGAAACAGGAAACAAACTGGGTGAGCAGCTGTAAAGAAAGCCTGAAACCTCCAGGTGCCCTCCTATCCCCACCAGGATGAGCTGTTGGGGGCAGAGCCCAAACTGTCAATGCCAGAGGCTCCTCCTCCAATTCCCACACAGGACAGCTACAGAGACTCTCTGAAACCCTGAGTTCAGTCTGGGGGCCCTCCACAAGCCTTTCCCCCAGGAGCAGCATTCCTAGTCAGTCTCAGGCCCTCTTGGCATATGACTCCAACTGTGTTTCGCCATATAAAAACAGGAGGTCCCGTGGTCTGGAAGAAGGTCCCCTTTGAAGCCCAAGGCACAGGCTCCATGGCCGCACCTCGACACCAGGCCCCCACCAAATGCCATCTCCCTCTTTCCCATTTATGTCCATCCTGGCCCAGATGAATGTGATGTATTTGTCACTTTCTACACTAAGTTCTCTTCTTGTTCCCCGCACTACAGGTCCCAAAAGCCCTGCAGTATTCAAGAGCCCAAGTCAACCCAGCCCTCCCATAGCCCTCCCTTCCATGCAGCCCAACACTCACTGAGGAGGGGGCTGAGGTACACCAGGAGCCCCAAGGTCCAGTGGAGAACAGGGACTCCTAAGCAGGGCCCCATGGCAGATCTGGCCCGCTGCAGCTAAAGAGGAAGAATCAGAAAAAGGACACGGCAAAGAAACAGGAAAAACTGTGTTCACAGAAACCATTTGCTCTTCCGCAACCAAGGGGTGGAGCCCAGGAAGGTAGAGTGACAGACCTTGCAGGACCCAGCAGGATGGAGGCAAACCAAAGGTCAGTATGCACTGACTTGGGCCCACCACATGCCGACCTCTGCTACAACTCCCTCCCTGCACATGCAGCCAGCGTTGTTCTCACACACATAAATCCCATCTACCCTCTATCCTTACATCCTTCCTGACATCCTACCTCACTTAAAGAAATCTAAGTCCTCCCTTTGTCCAGCATATCCATTGCCTGCATCTACCCACATGTGGGCATGTGGCAATCATTCTGCTTATCAGATCAACTTGAAATGTTGTAGTTCTCTGTTCAAAGAACTGATGTGTAGAAGCCTAATGTCACATCACATTACCTGCCTCATTCACCTCTTTTCACATCCTGAAGTACGTATTGCATCATCTCACTGCATCACAAGAGGACAAGCTTAGTACAGTACAATATTTAAAGATAAAACATTCACAAAAAATGTATTATACTGCATTGCAATACTTTTTTTAATTTAATTATTTTCAGTCCCTTCCTGGACCTAATTTAGAAATTAAACTCTCTCATATATTCATATGCAAAGGAAAACAGAGCATACACTTATATGGGGTTTGACTGTATCTGTAATTCCACATATCAACAGGGAGTGGATAACACAGGTAGGAGTTAGTAATATTATGAGCACATTCACAATGAAAATCTGTAGGTATTTAAAATCTGAATTAAATAGATCAATATAAGCTAAAGAGAATATAAAAAGAAGAAAATGAATTAAGTACAGATTACACTGAGGTTTTATTACCAGAACAAATGGAAAGATAGTGGAATGGGAAGCTCTGTAGGAAGCACTTTAACTAGATGCATTTTGAACATGACAACTTGGACATGCCTATTACACATCCTAAGTAAATGATTGTCTATTCAAAATGTGCAGCCCAGAAAAAGGATCCAAGCCAGAAACTTCAGAGGATCCATCACAGTAGTTTGTGACTCTGAGATGACACACATCGGTATATGCTTATAGATGCCATTATACAGCAACACCAACTAAGCAACTTTAATACTACTAATTATTATTATTCTATATGTCTAGAAGTTACCGTTCTTTATAAATATAATTGGAATAAAACAAATGTGGCTTAAAGTCACTTTGGCCCTTTTGGAGATATTACAAAGGAGCCCACTTCATGCTGCTGCTAGAATTTGGAGGTTTGCAATTGTTGCATTGTTGGATGTCGCATTGCTGGATGTCAATGAGGGCCTTTCCAGGCTGCTGCCTGAGACCACTCTTCTGTAAGTTCCAAATACCCATCCTGCCTCCCTTACCTCCTTACTCAGGATGCAGAGCCCAGCTCCTCAAGCACAGTCAGCACCTCTACAATGTACACACATCAGAGTTCATGTCGTTGTCCCACAGCGATGGACTTGCTGATGCACAGAGCTGATAATAACACGCGTGGACTCTGACTGATGGTCAAAAGCAAAAGTTTATTAGGGGCATCAGACTTTATACACTGAGGGTCATATGGGATAAGGGAGGAAGTATTGAGCTTATCAACAAAACCCATCAACTGTTTCTATACTTTTGTTTGGAACTCCTTTTGTCTTGTTTATTCCACCAAGTATTCTCATATACATACTGCCCACTCAACTCTTCTTATACAAATGATATCCATCAGGCATACAAAAGGTAGCCATTTGGTTGTTCGCATGCAAATATTATCCAATCAACTGTAATCCTGTGCTCACTGACCTTCTAGTGTCACAATGTCCTCCTACAATCACCAATACCCACATCAATGACCCAGCAGAGGCAGTGAGGATTAGCATTGTTCATGGACAGGCAGGTCCTCTGTGGGAAGGCATCTGGAGTCCTAGCAACACCAGGGGAAGAGCCCTCAATATGCAGGCATGACGGTCCTGAGAGGGCAGCTTGGGAATGGCAGAAGGGAGAGAGAGGCTTTGACAGCTTAAGGAGCTGTGGCCATCAGCTCCAGTTAAGGCAGATCAGGACAGCTAGGCTTGGACAAGAGTGAGAAAAGCAAGGGGCCTATAGTCAACAGGCTCAGAATAGAGATGGCCAGCAGTGCTAAAATCTATTTCTGACATTTGAATTATCATATTGGCCCAGCCTGGGTTATGGACCTTGCTATGGACTGTAAGGTTAGGCTCCTTGTTGCTGACCTCCACACTGGGAGTGCCAGACAGAGGGTAATTACAGCAGTGAAGGGATGGAGAAGTCTCAAAGCAACCTCACAGAGAAAATAGCAACTGATATGACTGTGAATTTACTCAAAGCATTAGGTAGCAATTATGAATTCTCTTAGTTGAAACTACTAGAATTGCTGACTGTGAAAATAGGTGGAAATGCTTAAGAAACCCAGAAGTAGGACTTCAAGACAGATAAATGTCCAGCTCTCATATTGTCCTGCTTCTTGAATTAATAAGGAAAGAATGACGCAGGAGAGAAGCTACAGTGGTCATTGCCAGGAGGAGACTAAAAGAGGAAACAGGTGTAGAAGTTGGAAGGGACCTAGTTCAGCAGCTGGCATGGGAGGAACATGGAAGAGTCATTCACTGATCAAGTTCCTGCTGAAGCCAGGGAAGATGAGACACAATGCCTGGCTTCACCCATGGAAAAGTTAATCACTGGGGATACAATGCTGGGAAAAATAAAAATGCTTCCAGACAGAGATTCTGGATGAAACCAATGTATATTTGTTTTCATTTGTTTCAAGAGACAGTTCCTATGCATTGGTTTACTCTGCAGAGACCCACAATCCTGGGCAAAGCCAGGAACTGAGAACTCAATCCAGGTCTCCCATGTGGGTAACAAGGAGGAAATGACTCTTTATTGATCACCTGTGTCTTCCAGGGTCTAAATTGGCAGAAAATGGAATCAGCAGCCCAGAGTCAGGAATTGAATCCAAGAATTCAGGTATGCATAAGAACAATAACCAGATTTGTAACCACTAGGCCAAATGCTTACCTCTGCTATAACTTTTGTACCTTGGTCAATGTCTTCAAGGACAGCTTTTTAGAGAAGACATTCAAGGTACCAGTCATTGACTATTCAATGAAACATCTGTTGTGAGCAAATTTCAACAAGAGGCCGTGTTTAGAGTAGAAATTCAAAGGAGAAAAAGGCAACACTTCCTCATGAAGGTACGCTAGTCTATGGACAATTGAATTCCAATAATGAGGGAGTCACTGGGGATCACAATCTAAGACAACATTGCTAAGCAAAACCATGTGATTTGCTTCTCAAAAGATGATTCAGATCCTTCATGAAAGGTGGATTATGGGAGGCAGGCATCCATGAATGGAAGAATCTTAAAAGCAGAGATGAACTGGATGTAACTTCCAAATATCTATAGCAAGTAACTAAATAGAGAGGGTGTTACAATAGGTCAGAGAGAAAAGCAAGATATCCTCCGATTGCAGTACAATGTTAAACTCACCTAGGAAACAGGTATCACCAATATCTAAGTTAGCAGTTTTGTGGCCCACCTGATTGTTGATCATGCAGGTCAGGCTGGCTTCCAGCTGACTCATGGGAAGACACACATCCAGGGTCTAGGAGGTGGGGGTTAACCAGTTGGCCCTCCCTGCTTCAGCCCTGCAAGGGACCACTGTATTCCCCAGGTCACATTCAGGTACTCAGTGGTCCATACGGCCCTGCATCTAAGATGACATGGCACCATCCTGACCTTAAGGATGGTGACTTGACCAGGAGCTTAGGAGCAGACACTGGCTCTAGAGCAGAGGGAGACAGGAGCATGGGGACTCAACTGTGTGCAGTCATTGCAAGCCATGTATTCTCACCATGATCTCACTGAAGAACAGACACTGTCCTGTGAGGAAGGTGAGAGCACAGCAAAGACAAAACACAATTGCCTCAAAGCCAAATATTGAGCAAATGACATTAGGGATGGCAGCCATTGAGTTCACATTCAGGTTTCATTGGAGCTAGCAAGTCTAAAATTTCCAGGGGACAGTGAAACTGGATTCCACCTTCAAGGGCCCATGGTTTCTAGGAGAGTGGGATCTCTCCACCAAGGAGACACTTGGGGCAGAAACTGACATGAAGGCTGGGAAAACACAGCCCTTTTGAGAAAGGACAATAACAGGGCAACGTTGGTAGGCCAGGGAAAGGCCCAGTTTTTCCCCATTTGTGACTGTTGCAATAGTGCTGACCAGAGCAATCGCTCCAATGTGGGTGGTAATGTGAAACTGAGCTTGTGGTACAGACAGGAAAAGAATTAACAGATTCTCAAGCCCCTCTCACAAGACACATGGAACTCAAAGTTGCAAAAGTCACTGTCCCTGTGACAGTGTTTCCCTACACATAGAGGAACTAGGACAGAAAGTGTGGGTAGAATGGCTTTGCCAGAAAATCATCCAGTGTGAACTCTCTCCTACATCATCCAAGGCTTTGAGAGAGCTTAGTTTCTGGGGGTGGAGTGAGTGAGGGGCAAGCTGGGGCTGAGGGAAGGAGAGTGGACAGGAAGTCCTTGGGTTGAGGTGAATTCCTCACATGTTGGCAACATAGTGACATGAATGACATGTAAGTCATCACCCTCAGAAGGTTTGATTATGAGAGGATATGTGGAATTGTTGAATAAGGTAGCACATAGATTTAAGTCTGTTGAACTCCTATGGTGCACACAGATCCTGCTAGTGAGCACAAGAGCTGGGGCTGGGAGAAGGCTAAGCAGGCTGGGTTGCAGCCCCACTGGCACATGTGTGAGCCAGTTCTGAGACCTTCAATGCAGTGTCAGTCCATTGCACATACTGGCATGAGTGTGAGCCAGGCCAAATTGGACCACAACACCTGCTGCTTCACATAAGGGCTGGGGTAGACAAAGTTGGGGTGAGTTAGGATGCAGCTGTGCTAGTGATTGCCGAGTCTGGGAATGAG